ATCATATATAAATCATCAAAGAAAGGTAAATACAGTGTTCGAATAAAGGACTTAATAAATACATCGTGTAGCATAGCTCTCAACGAATGTAGTCCTGTAAATAAATGAATAAAGAAATTGTGTAATATATATATATATATATATTGGTTGTATTCTGCCCCAATGACATTTACTGGGTTGAGCATGGTACTGGAGCTGGAGCCACCACGTAATGTGGGAAGTAGTGGAGCCCAGAATACCATCCTATGTGGAGTATCTGTATATAATTTGAGTATCTGTATATAATAGCCAATATCATTTTCTTTTAACGGATCATACAGGGGCCTTACATTATACAGCAATAATTCCTACTTAATTGACGAGATACTTGCTGTTTGGTGTGAAATATACAAGCACATTTTCTAAAAATCAGTTTTGGGGCATATATGTTATTAGTCGCTTTAATAAAAAGCTGATAAATACTTTATTGAAATCGCTAAAATGTGTGCTGGCATAGGTTTCTACAGTACTTCCTGCCTTTTTAAAAATATTTAGTAGGTCTATATAACTGTATTGTGAATGCCACAATAATTAACGGTGGATATACAAAGATACGAGCATTTTTTTCTGTAAGCAATTATTATTTAAAAAAATAAATAAAATGTATAATTTTCTGTCGTATATTTATTTTAATATTTTTGTTTTCTATCATTTTCAATTTTAAACAATGTGTCCATGCTAAACTGTTCTAAAAAAATTAATGTAGGCTTAAAACTTATACATTTAAATATTTTATTGCAAAATAGGGGCTGGCCACATTTGTCTATGTCCATTATCAAAATAGCTTGCGCCTATGAGATGGCTAAACATCATTTTATTTAATGATGATTATCTTTTCTTCTAATTATAATAGATATCATTTATTGATTATGTTTTGATTTTAATATCCTTAGAATGTAGAGGGCCTCCTTTATGCTGATCTGGATTTGAGGTTGTTCTCCCATCGTCATGGTTCTAATCATGGAATCACTCACACTGAAGAGGACACCATATATTCCAGTATCGTTGGTCAAATTACAATAGAAAAAAAATAGATTTGACAATGACAATTTAAGCGTTTTGAGGTACTTGTCTAATGTGTTATAACTTATTGAATTCCAAAATGTAAGGTTGATTTTTTGTTTATAAGAATGAACAACATAAATAATAGAATTCAATTTGTATAAACTGTACTCAGATACTTTTATTAGTCTAAATATAACACACCTCAATAACTTTCATATTTGTTTTCGTACCAATAACAATTATTTGGATACTAGACCTGTTAAAGGACGTTAAAATTTAAAATTAATGTGTAGGAACTTTTAAATGAGGTTAAAATTTAAAATTAATGTGTAGGAACTTTTAAAGTTCAGTTTATCTGTGTAACTGCTCGATCCCCTAACAAACTGTATATGTTGTAAATAATACCATAATGTTACTAATAAACATAGACCCTCTAATTTAAGGCCAACCTGGTATCTGGTTATTTATCCTCGGTTTCCAATAGAAACCACTCTATGGAGACTGCACATAACAGGTGGTCTCCAGTTAATTTATGACCTGATGGTGACCACGTTAACAGTGGTCTCCAACTATTTAATAAATGGGCATCAGGGAAGCTTCGAGATTAGAGGATTAACTGAAATATGGTATTGACAAGCTTTGTTCTTCATATTGAATATTTTTTATGTTTGCTTAATATTCTGTCTTTTTGTTTACCCTTAGAAGATGCTCACTATGAGTCACAGTACGGATAAATGAATAAGTAAATAATTATAATAAATCAACTTTACTGATATACTTACTGTATTATCTTACTCAGTAAATAATTAGGTAAAATAAATTAGATTCAGGTTAGTAGATAATAGGTTTTAATATTTCTGTTGTTATTTACGCATTGTTTGCACACCGTTTAATAAGCCAAAAGTCTAAAATTAGTTAAAATAAATTTGGTAATAATTCTGTAAACAGAAACTATATGTTTTTGTTTATCAAAAATGTAATATCTTTGGTTCATGCTTTGAGCATAAATAAAATGGAAATAAAAAAAGAACCCTTTAAATGACGTTTTCATTGTGAACAGAAAAATATAATCCGAAAAAAGCAATTGAATCTGTACACACACTCCCACACGCACCCACCCATACACACATACATTTTGTATTAAAATCACGAAAAACTTGGTATACGACAACAAATCACACATATACAAACATCTAAGAAAAACACACATTGCAATTCCTTTAGCAAAGAAGATTGTTTCAAAATATTAAATCAGTCTAACAGTAGTTATCCACTAAAAATTAAGAGGCCCTACACATGAAATGGAATGATCTTTCACTGAACAAACAAGTTCAGCATTATAATATCACCCTTTTTGTATAATAGAAGAGTCCACAACAGTATGAATAATTATTACCGTACCCCTCAATACACCTGCATCACTAAGCATACGTACACCAAAGGAGCAGTGTATGCTGACGTGGCGTATTTATGAATAATCATTAGTCAAACATCTTTATCGCTAAGCATACGTGTACTACTGGCACTATATAAGCTGACGTGGAGTATTTGTTAATTTTTAGTGTTTTTAGTTTACTTACTGAAGATGACTGTGTGATACACTAGCAGAAACATGTTTATTGCATCTTGGTTTATTGCTTTTAAATGTGTATTTACTATATCCTGTCGATCGATCTATTATTCACAAGATATTTAGAGTAAGTTTGATGGCTTTTAACCACAAGGACATATTAGAGAGTTCAAGACTTAAACTATCAAAGGCGTAGTAAATTTCATTTCACACAAAACAGGACATAACAAAACAAACAATATCTCTTAGATAGAGTCGGTAATAATGCTTAATTTCGGAAATTATTTAAGAAAAGACAACATAAGTCAAAAAGGAAAAAAAATAAATAAATTCGGGTATCTATCATAAACTTAAATAACAGTTACTTTTTTTTCCTTTCCTCCTTTTTCCTTTAACTTCATGAACATAAAAACATATCTTTAATTTCTGTCGTTTTATCTAAATATTAATTAATTTAATTCAAGCAAAATTACAGTACCAAAATTCAGAAAAGTTTGTATTCCTTTAAGAGACAAATGAAAAAAAAGAAAAAATATTTATATCAATATACATACATATATATATATACACACATACATACACACACACCCACACACACACGCACACACACACAAGTTGCAACCAAAAAGAAATACCCAGCCACAAAGCTGCTTAGTGTTGATGAATTGCAGGAAGGCGAAATAGCTATCTTAAGGGTCCTACAGCAAAAAGATTTTGCAGAAGAAATTTGTATCCTGCAAAGTCTTAAGGTGGTTGGTGGTTGTAGTGACCGATGTCGATGTAAAAAGAAAGAAACAGAAGTCTGAAACAGACCAGTTCATTGTATAAGTTGGATCCTTACAATGATAGTAATGGTATCATTCGGGTCGGAGGAAGGGTGAGTAGAGCAGATTTGCCTGAAGATATAAGCACACTATAATATTACTAAAGAAAGACCATGTAACGAGTCTAGTGAAAAGACACAATCACATACCCATATGGGCAGAACATCTACTCATAACCATATCCGACAAAATGAGTTTTGGGTTATTAACGGTTCAAGCGCTGTATCACAGTATATATATCTAGCTGTGTCATCTGCATGAAAATGAGAGATAGTCTAGTTACTCTGAAAATGGCTGACCAACCCTTAGACAGATTGAATCAAGAACCACCATTTACATACTGTGCTGTTGGTTTCTTTGGACCCTTCACAATCAAGGAAAGAGGTAGCCAGGTGAAGAGGTATGGAGTCCTTTGTACATGTATGTCATCCCGAAGTATTCATCTAGAGACTACAAATTTTCTGGAGACCGATTCATTTATAACGCTCTACGCCGCTTTCTAAACATACGGGGCCTGCTAAGCAAATAAGGTCTGATTGCGGTACCAATCTCGTAGGTGCAAACAATGTGATGATGAAGCTGATATCAGAAATTGACCAGAAGAGGATTGGAGAGTTCCTGCTCCAGCATCATTGCGATTGGGTACAGTTTCAGTTTAATGTGCCATCAGGGAGCCACATTGGCGGAGTCTGGGAACGACTAATCAGGACTGTTTGTGCAGCTTTAGAACCACTCCTCAACGAATGTGGCAGTCAATTGGATGACAAGTCATTTCGTACAGTCATCAGTGAAGTTCAAGGGATCGTGAATTCACGACCACTGACAATATATAATCTATCGGATCCAAATACACCTGCACCATTGACACCAAATAACTTATTGACAATGAAAACGAAAGTGCTGCTATCACCACCTGGAAACTTCCAGCGTCCAGATCTATACTGTAAGCAACGATGGCGCCGTGTGCAACACAAAGCCAATCAATTCTGGCAGCGTTGACAGAAAGAGTTTTTGCAAACTTTACAACCAAGAGGAAAATGGTTCAAAAAACAACGGAATCTACATATGGAGATGTTGTAATTATGAAAGATGAGAATCTACCACAGAACCGTTGGAAGATTGAAAAAGTGGAGGCAGTCTACCCAAGTGAGGATGATGCTGTTCGGAAGGTGAAATTATTCGTGATGGGTTACCAAGACCTAAATGAAAGTGGTGCCAGACAACAACCAATGAGTTACTTGAACAGACCAATTCACAAACTAGTACTTTTGGTGCCTGCAGAAGAGAACTGAGGAATTCCCCGTCTTGGAGCCCTTTTTGTTGATCTTAAAGTTTAATGACTTAAAGCGTTAAAAGTTAAAGTTAAAAGTTGTACTTTAATTGAAAGTTAAATAATGAATAATTGGACTGATAGATATAATAAAAAAAAAATAATGCAAAATAAATGATGTTGATGTGATCCAAGATGCATTTTGCAGGGAGCCATGTTGGAGAAGTGATTCTAGAAATTTTTATAATGGCGCCCCCTATAATTGTAAGTGCGTAACTTTGTTTGTGCGTGTATGGCGTATGCAGAAGATAATTTATGCAGCATTGAGACGTACCGTAGTAGTAGTAAACAGCTCGAATGTCATCCGAATTACTGAAGTTTATAATCGTTTCTAAATCCCAAATCCAGGTACAGTCATTATTTCTGGAAGCTTAAATATTAATGCTAAAGTTATCGTAAAAGTTATAGTACCGTAAAGTAATAATACCGTAATCCTAGGCCAATAATTAAACATAAATATTAGGCTAAAGCGAATTTATAGGCTAGGCTGTGCCTATCGTACGCTATGAGGACTTGTTCTATTGTATTGTAGTTTACCGGATTGTTGGTTCGCCGTAGGACGGACAATTATATGAATAAATGTTGAAACGATGTTCTGAAGATTGTTGTCAAGTTGTTATTGTTATTGTTTATTTTAGACATTTTTTTTTTACAATTACAAAGTGTATTCAAGTGCTTACATTGATGCCTACATTCCACCAGAGAACAACTTGCGATTTTTTCGCAATTGTTTTCACACGTACTGAGCATTCAGTACATGGTTGGGCAAAATTACACCTATACTTGATTCTCCTGACGCAAATCAAGTTATTTTCTATTCCATCACGACAATAACAATTACTGTCAACATTGCAGTACCCGCTGCTTACTTGGACTCGAATTCCACCCTGGCCATCAGGCGAAAGCTCAGTGGCATAGAGGTATGATGCCAGGCTAGTGATCTGGAGATCGTGGGTTCGAGTTCCACCCGAGAACAACTTTTTTTCGCAATTGTTTTCACACGTACTGAGCATTCAGTACATTTCCACGTCAGGTAGGACAAAATTACACCTAATACGTGATGCCTACAGTAACCTAGTACCACTTAAGCCTTGTATCGCATGTCATTGGAAACCCTGAACATAACAGCAGCTGGAATCTCCTAATAAATATTCATGAGACAGTTGGTGAATCAGGGGAAGGTGTTATTTAAAAGAGAACTGGCAAAATAATATTTTGTTCTAGAGGGGATTTTTGATATGCCATTAATAATAGAATCAACCTTAAAATCGTTTTTTGGCTATTTTTTTTATGAAGTTATAGGCGATCATATACGATTTTACCCTGACGTCACTGGCAAAAAAGTAACAAAAGATCGTGTAAAATAATAGCGCCGCGTAGGGTAGGCTCCGCCGCGTAGGGTATCCGTCGCGTACGATCTTTGCGTGCATGCTGTTACCATGGCTGTAACTCGTTTGTTGACAACCGCTGAATGCATATCAAATGATAGGCATATCAAATTATATGCCTAGGCATAATCTGAACATCATTGACCTCAAAGAAGCTTGCAATGGCCGAACACAGGGTTCGTACGTTTTTAAGCAAAGAATTTCCAGGACATTCCAGGTCAAATTTTTTCCAAATTTTAGGGACACATTATATAGCTTAACAATAAAATATCGGCAATTTTACGATTGATTATAAAACATGTATGTTGT